AGGACCTCGGAAGCGGGCACGCCGAGTGACAGGCGGCGTTGCCCCTGGCTTCAGCGAGCGGTAGGAGCCCCTCCCCGGGTTTCCTCACACCGGCGCCTCTCATCCCCGCGGCGCCTCCTAGCCATGGTGCAGTGTACACCTGTGCCCTCCTCAGTAGTGGGTTTCCCGACATCTCCGTCGCGGTTTGCCCCTCTCGCTACTGGAGCTGAGGTATCGCAGGACTCGACAGAGTGTACTCAGCCCTCTGTCGCAGTACCGTCTGCGCCTCCGCAGACCACCGCCTCCCCTCGTTCCCCGCCGCGACTTCCGACGCGTCGAGCCATTCGCTCAGCCCGTTGCACCGAGCAGCTCGCTACTCGCGAGGACGTTGTGTCCTCTCTTCTCGACTTGAGCATGCTCCAGGCTCGTCAGGAGCGATTACCCTCCATGTCGCTGCACTGCGTCGCCTTCTCGTCATCCTCTCTGACCCTGATCGCACCCTCCCGATCATCCCAATACGACTCGGGACCTCCACGAGGGTGTACTCAACGCTGTGGGATTCCGGTTCTTAGGGCGACTTCATTCACCCACGCGTGGTGAARGAAGCCCGCTTACCCACGACAGGGTCTCCGACTCCCATCTCCGTTACCCTAGGGGGTGACAAGACCCAACGCTTCTTCGATCAGACGGTCACCGACCTCCCCTTCCTCCTCACTCTCGAGCCGACTGATCGTCCCCAGGCGTCTTGTCGCCACCGCTCCTCTGCACATTTCGATGTGATGGAGACGGGGTACGACTTCATTCTCGGCACTCCGTGGTCTCATCGGTTCCGCAGCACCAAGGCCGATTGGGCGACCAACACTCTCGTTCTCAAAACGAAGTGTGGACAAACGTATCGCGTACCTTTCATAGGTACCACTGCGACACCACGCCCCGATCCTCCTCCCCCGGAGCCTTCCGTGCCCACACCATTTCCTTCTATCACTATCACCTCGCCTCGGCAGTTCGCTTACTTCATCGGACAGGACGACGTTACCTTCTTTATGGTGAACGTGACGGATCTCTTACACTATGATCCACCCTGTCCCGACGCCGAGCTCATCCCTCTGGAGCCAGATCCTCCTTCTATCTCCATGGCTCCCATCTCTATTTCTCAACCTCCGTCGTCCGTCGAGTCCACCCTGTCGTCGCGCGCTGACGCTGACGCTGAGGAACTCACACGTTATACGGCTGGCGTGGAGCCCGCCGTTCGTGACCTCATCCGAGAGTACCACGACGTTTTCCAATCGTCGTTCTCGTACGCCGACATCCCACCGATGCGCGACGTTGAGCACTCCATCCAGCTTGTGCCTGACTATCGAGTGCACCACCAGGCACCCTACAGACTCTCGATCCCCGAGGCCACTGAACTCAAGCATCAGCTTGAGGAACTCCTGAGACTGGGTTTCATTAAACCCAGCAACTCCCCGTGGGGTGCACCTGTCCTCTTTGCTCGCAAAGCGGATGAAACTCTCTGTCTCTGCATCGACTATCGCGGTCTCAACCGCTACACGGTTAAGAACAACTACCCCATGCCTCGTTCCGATGAGCTGTTCGACCGCCTAGCAGGCAACCGCTTCTTTACGAAGATTGATCTTCGTAGCGGTTACCATCAGATCCACGTCGTTGCAGCCGATCAGCCGAAGACCGCGTTCCGATCGCGCTTCGGCCACTACGAGTTCACGGTGATGCCATTCGGCCTCACCAATGCACCCGCCACCTTTCAGAGGGCGATGAGAGACATCTTCAGGGACATCCTGGAGCAGTACGTTCTCGTCTACCTCGACGATATCCTGGTCTAYAGTCGTACCCTTGAGGAGCACCTCAGACACCTCCGCGACGTCCTTGACCGCTTGCGCAGACATGGCTTCTACGCCATGCTGAGCAAGTGCCGCTTTGCCCAGCACAAAGTGGATTTCTTAGAACACTACGTGTCTGACCAGGGTCTCCACATGGACGACGCGAAGATCACTTCTATTGCGGAGTGGCCCGCCCACACATCCGCCAAGCAGCTTCGCAGCTTCCTAGGCCTGACCAGCTACTATAGTAACTTCATTCGGGGATACACTAGGTATTCCTACGTCCTTACCTCCACCCTCCTCTGGAAGAACCCACCCTGGGCTTGGACACCCCTCCACGAGGACGCCTTCCGCGCCCTCAAGAAGGCGGTGACATGTGCACCGGTTCTTCACCTACCCGATGCATCAGACTTTGCTGTAGGAGCAGTGCTTTCTCAGGTCTTCCCCTCCTCTCCTGATTCCTCTCATCCTCTTATCCCTCGCTTCCCACCACCTACCCCTACCACTGCTTCCCGACTGACGCCTACTCGTCCAGCTACTGACGAGCCTTCTATTGACTATTCTCCTACCATCGCCGAGGACGGCACTATCGAGACTCGCTCAGGTGATTGTCCGATAGCCTTCTACTCCCGTCAGCTCCTGCCCGCCGAGATAAACTACACTGCTGATGAACGTGAGGTTCTCGCAGTAGTTTATGCCGCTCGGCACTGGCGTCACTACCTGCATCGGGCACCATTCATACGAACAACTTTGTTGTCCAGGCTTTTTTGACGAAACCGAAGCTCACTCCTCGACAGGCTCGCTGGTGGCGCGACCTATCCGAGTTTAGTTTCACCACTGAGCACATCAAGGGTGAGACTAATCGGGTCGTAGATGCCTTATCTCGGCGCCCTGACCACGACCAGGAGCAGATCCAACTCCCTTCCATCTCGGTCACCACYGTCCACCACTCGGTGATCGATGAGTTTCGCACTCAGTACTGCCACTGCCCCGACTATCGCGACATCCACGCGACCCTTCGGAGTGGCAAGACCGTCCCAAACTACTCCCTCGGGGACAACGGTCTTGTGCAATGGCACGGTTTACAGGGCACCAGAGAGCCCCGTATTTGCGTCCTCTCCACTGGACAGCTACGTGTCCGAGCAGTAGCAGAGTTCCATGACCAGGCAGCCGTCGGTCATATGGGCTTCCACAAGACGTTGGCTCTTGTGAGCCGCCTGTACATCTGGCCGAAGCGCAAGGACTTTGTGAAGGACCTCGCAGAGTGTCCTACCTGTCAGGAGGTGTACAGTGCGAACCACCTTCCTTATGGTTTGCTCCAGCCTCTTCCTATCCCTGAGGGTCGTTGGCAGTTTATCTCGATGGACTTTATCGGTCCTCTTCGACCTCCGACTCTCCGCGGTCATGATGCTATCCTGGTCGTCGTCGACCGCTTCACGAAACGTGCACGCTTTGTTCTGTGCCGCTATGCCATCAGTGCACGTGAGGTTGCCGACATCATGTTTGACCGAGTCGTGCGTGACCACGACTTACCTTTGAGCATCATATCTGACCGTGACCCGCGCTTTACCAGCCGATTCTTGCGATGGCTCGACGAGGTGTACGACACTCAGCTCCGCTTCTCCTCGTCTTACGATCCTCAGACTGATGGTCAGACCGAGATCATGAACATGACTCTCGGAGATATTCTCCGAAAGATTGCTCGTGACGACCAGCAGTGGGATCTCCATCTTGCCCACGCGGAGATAGCCTACAACCACGCCGTCTCGCCAGCCATGGGGATGTCACCTTACTATTGCGACCTCGGCTATCACCCTCGTGTTCCCGCGGACTTCCTTCGACCGTCACAGATGCACCCCGACACGAGTTGTCCCGCGCTGGATGATTGGGTTGCACACATGACGTCGATCATGAAGACCGCACATGAGCACATAGCCGCTTCCCAGACTCGCATGGCAGCACGTGTGAACTGATCGAGAATGAACCATACATTCAAAGTCGGTGATGACATGCTTATCGACGCCCGCCACTTACAGCTCAAAGCAGACACGCTTCGCAAGTTTCGGCGTCGCTTCTTTGGCCCATGCCGCATCCTCTAGGCCGTCGGGTCTGATACGGGATCTAGCCCGGTCAGCTTCCGTGTGAAGCTGCCCGACTACCTACGCCAGGCTCGTGTGCACAATGTCTACCACGTCTCGTTACTGCGTCCTTACCGCAGACTGTCTGAGCGTTTCGCTGGACGACCATACGTGCGCCCTCCACCCATCATGGTGGACGGCCATAAGGAGTTCCTCGTTTCAGACATCATTGGTCGCCGAGTCACCGACGACAACCCTCCCCACGTCGAGTATCTCGTACGTTGGAAGAGTTACCTTGATGAGGAGGCTACCTGGGAGCCCCTCGAGCACTTGCAGCACGCTCACATGTTGGTGCATGTCTATGACCGTGCTCGTCGTGTTGGGTTCACTGCTCCTCCTCAGCCAACTGAACCTCCTCCTTCTCCCCCGGCTGAGGAGACTGTTGAAGTCGAGCCTGCTCCATCTGAGGCAGACCTTCAGCAACAGCCAGATGCTTCTGAGCGTCCACAGCGCACTCGTCATCGTCCTGCTCGATACGACGATTGACTCTGACTTACCTTCCCACGTCTTTGACTTCTCAGTACTCCATCCACTCCAGTTTTGCTAATTCAGCTCGTCGACGTTGCGGGTCTTCTTCGACGACATTCCGAACTTCTCATCGTGGACGTCATCGACAGCTTCATGGACTTCGTCACGATCAACTCTGCCTACTTCAGACGTCGTCACTCCCTTACCACTTTACCCCTGTACAGTACCCTACTTGTGTCGCATGATGGTCTCCCTTTTAGTCGGGTTCCTTTGAGTTGGACTCTCCCTTGGTATACGCATAAGCATCGGGACCGTAGCGTTGCCCAGGCTTCCCATCTTACGGATCTAGCTCCGACTTCCGTCACTTTAGGAGTCATTTGCATGATTCCCTTACCCATCACCTTTCTACCCTCTGCCGGCCCTCACGCCC